AGCTGCCAGTTCTAGTACTTTTCTTACAGCTCCCCTAGTTTTTCAAGTATTTCAGTTTTCTTAAGCGAGAATTCCCTGCTGCCAACTTGGCAGATAAGCCAAGTCAGATACAGCTAGATTGCTTCTGAATTCAGAAAGCAGACTGGAACATTATCTTGACACCTCTGGGAACATAAATAAGAACTCTGTCTGAAATGAAGGGCAGATATGAAGATCTAGATAAAGGAAAAAAATAAGAATCTGGTTGCATGCATTTTGAATTGCTAGATTTTTATCTAGTAATATTGCATGTGTTGTGACTGAACTGTTGAAGTTTTGTGGTATTACCCATATTTCTCCCATGTTCCCTCAAGTAGTAGTAGTAGTAGTAGTAGTAGTAATCCTCTCCACACTGTTCTGCTTCAGTTAGCTACCTCCATGATTGAAAAAGAAATGACATGTTGGAGAAAAAATACACTGACCACATGTAGTTTGGGCCTTCGCTTTAGATTATAACTCACTCCATAGTGTGTCAGCTCTTTCAGGTACCAAAAATAAGATCTAAAAGAGATGAAAGTATCCAAAACAGGTGCTGAAGCTGAAAATAAGCAACAAGTCCATTAAGACCAGATGGTCTAAATCCAAGCATTTGAGAAACAATTTAGAAGCTAACCCGGTTACACAGTCATATAAAATCAGCTGCTAGACAAAAGTTTAGCAATGTTGCAACTATTTTGAAAATCAGTGTCTTATATAGAGCTCTAGAACCACCAGTCATTCAGTCTTTCTGAAGAACTAACTGAATTTGATTGAACAAAATTATGGCTTAGAATAGAAATTGACAGTATAGGAATATGGTAGGATTTAATATAAATGTTGTTTTTGTAAAAGAAATGGGACTCTGCAATTCATTGTAATGGAGCCACTGGTGTTGCCAACAGGAATGTCACTGCATTGTGGTGCTTAAAACAGGAATAAAAATGATTGACATAACTAACCCTTAGGGGAGCTGGAGAAGATAAGTTGCTGCATTAAGATGTGCCTGGAATCTTCTTTCAATACCTTTTAGAGAAAAGGAATAATATTTGAATAATTATAGGGATGTTTCTCATTGTGTATGTTCTGGGTATAGCATATAAAACTGTTAACTCTGGTATCTTTTCTGCTTAAGGGAATTTGTATAATGTCTGTTATTTTCATGTTGGTATTCTAAAATAATTTGATCTTACTGTTAGATAGAAATACACAGTGATTGTCTTTATTAGGTTAAAAATAGCATTATAGTTTATATGGGGAACTCTTATAGGCCAACAAAGAAAATCTTTTAATTTGTTAATTGATTGATCTGAAACCAAGTTTTATTTGAGAATGTATACCAGTGATCAAAACTCTATTCTAATGGTGGTTTTTCTTAATAATACTGAACTTGAATAAATATCATTGAGATGCATTAGACAGTAAAATGCCTGCAGTTATGTTCCATTTTTATTGAGGCACATACATTCTTGCTCTTATTATTAGCTTCCCAAGTGGTAAGAAGGCCTTATGAGTTCTTTTTACTGAAAGACAAAGAATTGGAAGCTTAGGGTGTATTTCAGTAACAATCTATTTACGAATATTCACACAGAACATCTTTCAAGCAATATGATTTCTAAAGCAGGTAGTACAGTGGCTATTCCCAAGTAATTCCAAAAGAGCTACTGCTGAGTCACTTTGTATCCCAGTTTTTCCTCTAACTCCAGTTACAAACTTTTGCCTTTCTGAATTTGTATCTTCTCAAATAGAGGCTTTAAAAAAAACAAGATGTATGGTATGCATGGAGAGCACTCATTTCAGATTCAACCCTGCCATTAAATTGCTCATTCAGGAAAACACCTCCAGTCATTAACTTCCTTAAGGAAATAAATGCTAGCTAAGCATCCCTGCCTGTCAGCAAACTAGCAAGAAAAGTTTGGCTGCCTAATAATTACAGTGAAAAACATCTGGAAGAATGAATTGTTGGGAGAGTTTCTGGCTTTGCACCTTAATCTGCTAGATCTTTTTTTAATAGGGGTCTCACTAAGGACCTCTCAAAATGTTAAGAGTTGGATTTGTGATAAAGTGATGACAAGAATATGCAGTTATCAACTGTAAGGAAAGAATGGGGTAGTAGCTGTTCTTTAGAACACAACCTATGGAAGTCCCAGTGTTAGCACACCTACTTTACCCTGGCTGTTCATATGACTTGGAATGTGCAAGTAATGAGCACAGTGATGAGGGTTTTAGAGAAAGCTCTGGAAAATTCCCAGGAGAATTTCAAATGGAATTTTCATAGGGTCATTTGCTTATGAAAAATTTCAGCATATATTGGAAAAATTTAATGTCATCTAGAGCAGGGGATGGGAATTTGTGGCCATCCAGACATTTTGGCCTACAACTTATTTATTTTATTTATTTATTAAAACATTTCTATGCTGCCCCATTCGCCGAAGCCTCGGGGCGGCTCACAACATAAAATTAAAATACAAGAAATAACAATATAAAATAAGTTGCCCTGGCCAGATAAAACAAGCAAATAATATTAACAATTAAAATGACGCTTAAATAAAAAGGTTTTCGCCTGGCGCCGAAAAACAAATAATGACGGCGCCAGGCGGACCTCTCGGGAGCGCATTCCATAGATTGGGCACCACCGCAGAGAAAGCCCTCCTCCGAGTACCTACCCTCCTAATTTCTTTCACGGAGGGTTCCCGGAGAAGGGCCTCTCCCGCTGATCTCAGGGGGCGGGAGGGCGGATATGGATGTAAGCGTTCCTTCAGGTAACTTCTGTTGTCTCTCACCATTGGCTTTGCTAGCTAGGGCTGGCAGGAGCTGTAGGCCATAATATCTGGAAGCCCATAAGTTGTCCAGCTCTGCGTCCTAGAGAGATCTAATTTATGTTTTTATTTTAGCTTGTATTCAGGGAGGGAAAAGCTTTTAAAAAAGAATACCCCATGTTACTTATTTGTTCCAATGTACCATAAGTATTTGTTCCAAAATATTTGAGGAACAAAATGAAAGCATACTCAATATGATTTAAATGTTATATATGTTATATATAATGTAGATATTTTATTAAAATACTTGTAAAGGTTTAAAGATAGTAGTGTGTTGCTGTTGTTACATAGTTGAAATTTAAGCAAATAATAACAATCATCCCCTAAAGGTACTAAAAACTGTGGGCACACTGATTTTAGCAACCCAGAGAAATGTGTTTCATATGCTGAGTACTGCTCATCTATTTCAGCAGACTTTGACTGTCTTCCACAGAGGTTTTGGAACACCTTCAGTGTCACTGTCACTATAGAATAGTTCTATTTCACTCTTGAGACATAAATATATTTCAGTGGTGTATACATATTCTCTCACATACTTGCTTGAGATAATCACTAGAAAGACATTAATTTGAAACTGTCATGCTTGACTACTATTCTTCGGCGAATGGGGCGGCATAGAAATTTTCTAAATAAATAAATAAATATCTGTTCTTGGCATACCTTCAATGTTATTAATGAATTTATGAAATGGAAAAGTTTCCATAGAAAAATTAAGCACTAGAAAATTTCCCATCTTTGAAAATCTTTCATCACATCACTGGATGGACATGCTGCAAAGTTGTTACATTGTAAGATTTGGTTTAGAATAACAGGGTTATTTACCAGAGTTCATTAGAAAGCGTTTCTTGTTTGAAGGGTGAAATATTTCTCTTTTGCTATCTTAACATGAAGGAGTATATTTCATTTCCCTTCCCTTTTAATAGGACTTACTTCCAAATAAGGACAGTTAGGATTACAGCCTCAGTGGGTATGGAATCTGAATTATTCCTTGCATCTTTTTAAAAGGCTAGACCATTCACATATGAGGTTAGTCATCAGCTGGCAAAGGGAAAAGAATTAAGCCGCAGCTGTTAGCATTTACAATACTCTTGAATAAACAGAATATTTGAGATACTAGTGTGGCTAGTTCCAGTCATGCTTTATGGGGGACATAAATGTGCAGCCATAGAAAACGCATCTGAAAGAAGGGCAGGAGGTTGGTTTTGTCATCGGCATTTCTTTGGCCTTTTAGTGTTTCATTCCTGAAAGTTCTCCCATTGTCACATGGATCAACAAAATGCAAAGACCAATGTATAATATAGCAGGAGACAAGCAGGAGATAAACTGGGATCTACTAGGGGCCCTGCTGCAGATTTCACAGAAGATCATTAAAAGTTACCAATTCACAGTAATTTAACAACCCTCCTGCCCACTTCTCTTAGGTTGCTGAAATCAAGAGCATTTGAAGAAAAAGAAGGATACATTTTCCATGATTTTTGTGTACAAGTCCAGTTATGGTTCCAAAAGCAAATTCCTGGGTTAAGTTTGTCCTCTGAGGCAAGTTTTGCCATAATGTCCACCTGAGCCAGTATTTTGCATCTGGCTTTTGTTGATGGTTTTTCTAGTGAAAAACAGCAAATCTTAAAAGCCTACTTACTCTTGTTATGTTTGACTAGTCAAGCATTTTTCTTTCTGCAAAGAAAAGCTCTCACCTTCTCCCCTTGTACAGAAAAGCTACTCTCATGGTTTATGAAACCACATTTTCCTGCTGCATACGAGCTGGGGAATACTGGTTTAACCCATATTTACTAGCCAGGATAAAAGGGCCAGCAGAGAGGAGCCATGAATGCCATCTGAAGCCAGTGGATGAAAAGTGGGATCAAAATGCCAGTGCTTCCTGCAGCCAAAGGGCCTATACAGCCTGAGAGCCTTCTTGTCCTCTTAACATCAGAGAATGGGAGAGAAAAATAGTCAATGCCTTTTGTAGAAGATGTTCTTGGCATCACCTTATCAATGTTGATTTACCCTTTAAGCCTGTAAGGTACAATTGACAGACCAGGACTCTGATTTTGTTTTCTCTTTTGTGTTATCCAAGCAGATAATCTAAGCGACGCCTTGAAGAAGCTGAAGATAACAGCTGTTGACAGCACAGCTGATAGCTTGGAGGGGTGCTTGGACTGTCTGCTTCAAGCCCTGGCGCAAAACAGTAAGTTTTATTGTTCCCTCCAATTTCATACCATATGATTCAATCAATAGATGATTATGGAAGTAATAAGTGTATCAAATGGAATAAAACCGTAAGTGGAACTGGTGGAATAGCTGTTTGTGTTGAACAGAAATAGTGAAGGGTGAAGCAGGCCTTAAAAATTGGGGGGTGGGGCTGGAACCCAGCTATTAAGAACAGCCTGCAGGCCCTTAGATAATGTATTGGGGGGGGGTCTTCATTGTGAAAACAAATTGCCATTTTTAAGCCTCTTTCAGATCACTGCTTCATTATTAAGTTGAAATG